AAAAAGCTTTTTTTGTCTCTCTTTACAAACAAGGTCAGCTCCCAGACTACTGCACTGGGCAGCACAGTCTGGGGAGGATGTGACCAGCCCTCTGGAGAAAGAAATGGTTTAGGACTATTTAGAAAAGCTGGATGAGCAAAAGTCCATGGGGCCAGATGCACTGCATCCAAGGGTGCTAAAGGAGTTGGCGGATGTGACTGCAGAGCTATTGAAACTCATGGAGATCGGGGGTGGTACCGGATCACTGGAAAAAGGCTAATGTAGTGCCCATCTTTAAAAAAGGGAAGGAGGAGGATCCGGGGAACTACAGGCCAGTCAGCCTCACCTCAGTCCCTGGAAAAATCATGGAGCAGGTCCTCAAGGAATCAATTTTGAAGCACTTACAGGAGAAGAAAGTGATCAGGAACAGTCAGCATGGATTCACCAAGGACAAGTCATGCCTGACTAACCTAATTGCCTTCTATGATGAGAGAACTGGCTCAGTGGATGACGGGAAAGCAGTGGACATGTTATTCCTTGACTTTAGCAAAGATTTTGATATGGTCTCCCACAATATTCTTGCCAGCAAGTTAAAGAAGTATGGGCTGGATGAATGGACTATAAGGTGGATAGAAAGCTGGCTAGATCGTCGGGCTCAACGGGAAGTGATCAATGGCTCCATGTCTAGTTGGCAGCCGGTTTCAAGCGGAGTGCCCCAAGGGTCGGTCCTGGGGCTGGTTTTGTTTAATATCTTCATTAATGATCTGGAGGATGGCGTGGATTGCACCTTCAGAAAGTTTGCAGATGACACAAAACTGGGAGAAGTGGTAAATATGCTGGAGGGTAGGGATAGGATACAGAGGGACCTACTCAAATTAGAGGATTGGGCCAAAAGAAATCTGATGAGATTCACCAAGGACAAGTGCAGAGTCCTGCAGTTAGGATGGAAGGATCCCATGCACTACTACAGACTAAGGACTGAGTGGCTAGGCAGCAGTTCTGCAGAAAAGGACCTAGGAGTTACAATGGACAAGAACCTGGATATGAGTCAACAGTGTGCCCTTGTTGCCAAGAAGGCTAATGGCATTTTGGGCTGTGTAAGTAGGACCATTGCCAGCAGATCGAGGGACATGATCATTCCCCTCTATTTGGCATTGGTGAGGCCTCATCTGGAGTACTGTGTCCAGTTTTGGGCCCCACACTACAAGAAGGATGTGGAAAAATGGGAAAGAGTCCAGCAGAGAGCAACAAAAATGATTAGGGGGCTGGAGCACATGATTTATGAGCAGAGGCTGAGGGAACTGGGATTATTTAGTCTGCAGAAGAGAAGAATGGGGGGAATTTGATAGCTGCTTTCAACTACCTGAAAGGGGATTCCAAAGAGGATGGATCTAGGCTGTTCTCAGTGGTAGCAGACGACAGAACAAGTAGTAATGGTCTCAAGTTGCAGTAAGGGAGGTTTAAGTTGGATATTAGGAAAAACTTTTTCACTAGGAGGGTGGTGAAGCACTGGTATGGGTTATGTAGGGAGGTGGTAGAATCTCCTTCCTTAGAGGTTTTTAAGGCCCGGCTCGACAAAGCCCTGGCTGGGATGATTTAGTTGGTGTTGGTCCTGCTTTGAGCAGGGGGTTGGACTAAATGACCTCCTGAGGTCCCTTCCAATCCTGATATTCTATGATCTCTGAAGGTGAGATTTACCTGCATTTAGTTTCCTGCTGTACTAGTCTTAGACTTGCGTGTTTTTGTTTTATTTTGCTTGGTAATTTATTTTGTTCTGTGTGTTATTACTTGGAACCACTTAAATTGTACTTTTTATATTTAATAAAGTCACCTTTTACTTATTAATTAACCCAGAGCAAGTATTAATTCCTGGGGAGCATACAGCTGTGCATATCTCTCTATCAGTGTTATAGAGGGTGAACAATTTGAGCTTACCCTGTATAAGCTTTATACACAGTAAAATGGATTTATTTGGGGTTTGGATCCCATTGGGAACTGGGTATCTGGGTGTTGGAGACAGGAGCACTTCTTAAGCTGTTTTCAGTTAAGCTTTCAGCTTTCAGGGGACATGGTTCAGACCTGGGTCTGTGTTTGTAGCAGGCTAGTGTGTCTGGCACAACCAGGCAGGGTACTGAAGTCCCAAACTGCCAGGGAAAATGGGCTTAGAGGTAGTCTCAGCACATTAGGTGGCAGTCCGAAGGGGGTTTCTGTGACCCAACCCGTCACAATGTGATCAATTGATATTGATATCAAAATAATCTTGGAGGTAGTATGAGAGATTAGATCAGGACCTGTTGATGTAACTTACAGGAAGCTAGGGGAAGCCTGGAGGAAGGACAGAACATGGCTCTTGGTGGAGTTTACTTACTTGTATATTGATTGGATTATCTATTATGCAAACAGTTTGGAGGGGATACGTGTTTCTAGAGGTAAATGCAGTTTGTTGATTACTCCCAGTAGTCCAATACAGTGTTATTCTGTATTTAAGCATAGGGATGAAAAGTGCGTTTAAATAAGGTAGAATTAGGGGACCATATGTAATGTTCCAGTAATCAATATATAATAGGAAAGAGATTTATGACTTGATTTTCAGAGATGCTCATCGTCTGCCCACTGAAGTCAATGAGAGCTGCAAGTGTTCAGCACTTCTGAAAGCCAAGCAACTGTGTCATATATCACAGTTGAGAGACAGTTGTACGGAATGTTTGGGTTTCTTCACCTCTGATTTGAATAGAAGAGGTTGTTGTGCCTGGATTATTAGATGTATTTATACATAAGATGCACATCACCAAAGTGTCTGGACTTAAACCTACGGTACTTATCTCAGGTATTTCTGGAATGCCCACCAGCATAGTTCTAAATGCCAGTCCTTGATGTCCATTGACTTCTTAATTCTCTCCAGAGATTTCCAGCAAGAATACACTTAGTACCAATTGAACTCAATCACACCACTAAATATCTATCAGATGTTAATGTCAGATGGCTTCCTTTACTGCCAATCGGAGTCTAATTCAAACCAGTTACTTAGAGGAGAAAACAGTCTCCTAAATCACTGTATTATAAATCCCCTGGAACAGCCATTCTTAGGGAAAAATACCTTTAAAGGATTGTTTGATATAACTTGGAATTCTGAAATGGTATAGAAATCTACTGAAGAAAAGAGGTGCAACATTCCTAATAAACAGATGGAGAACCTGACTTTACAGTTCCTTCTGGTTAAGACTAAATGTGAAAGAGGCCAATGTTTTTAAGAAGAAATAAAATAAGCAATAAACAGAAAGCTTTTACAAATGACAATATGGTGAGGAGGTGGAGGAGAATTAGGTGACGTATAAAAATGATAGAAATAAACAAGTTAAAAAGATAACTAGAGGACAACAAAATATTGAATTGCAAAAAATGATCTTATAGACAATAAATATACTCATGCTCAACTGGATAAATGCAAAAAGAAGAGCTCTTGTAAACTCAAAATCTTGTCTCTCTCACCAGTGGAAGTTGGTCTAATAAAAGATATTACCTCACCCAGCTTGTCTCTCAAACTACAAAAAGGGTGATTTTATTCCACTTGAAACACGCACAAGGGAGCTAGAAATTGGGGCCATGGCAATGAGATGATTTATCTAACAGTCTTTTAAATTTTTCAATCATCTTTCTTTTGAGAAAGGAGAAAAAGGATGAAAATCTGCCTGGAACGATGACCGTATGTCCTGGCATGAGGTGATGAGAGTATAGTGCAGACAACAAAGGACTTTTGCAACATTTTTTTTGTTACATCTTTTATTTGATTAATTGCTTCAAAATGCGCAACCCTATTAAAAGTAATAAACAAAATCAAATAACAATGGGAAAATGAACTCACCCCAAACAGAATATGTGCAAAAATGTGCCTAGTGCAGGCATATTTGTGCTAGTAGAAAAGTGCTCTATATTTGTATGGGAATATCTCTACTGGAATAAACATTTTTATACCAGTATAACTGAATCCACTCAAGGGGGCTTATACCATTTTAAATATATTGCTGTAGTTAAAACAATACAACTTTTGTGTATAGACAAGTCCTTAGTCCATGCCATAGTACTGTAAAGTTAGAAAATAATCTTTCAACCACAGAGTTTACTTTGCTCAAGGTTAATGCAATTAAAATGCTTGCTGCAGCAAAACATGTCAACAATACCTTTTCCCAACTCCCTTTTGTTAGCTTTTAGTCCTTTACATTTAAAATAGTGACTCAGACAAGGTGGTATCAGTTGAACCATTGAACTCTTTGTATTTTATATGGTAATTTTTAAATTGAACAACAGTGATGGTAGGGTGGGCTTGGGAACACTGAAACAACTGAATTGTTTATTCCTTTGCTTAGCTCAGAACATACCCTGGGGAAGTTTGTTGTTAATTCATTTCAGGGCAGTTTTCAGTATGTGGGATACCATGAGTGGTCTCTGGCCATAGTTTATAATACTTGTTTTCTACTAGGAATATAAAGCAGTTGTCTCTGGGTTTTTAGTGTATTTACTGCTTGTGACGGCTACCAGATTGTGAGAGCCCCAGTCTACAGTGAGGTTTCTCTGAAAATTTCTCACTCTGGCTGTAACACTGGGGGTAGGGATGGTGGGATTGCTAGACATAAACAGCTATTTTAACCAACATATAGAATCACAGAAATGGAGGGGTGGAAGAGACCTCAAGAGGTGATCTAATCCAACCCCCCTTCACTGAGCCAGAACCAAGTGTACCTACACCATGCCTGACAGATGTTTGTCAAACTTGTTCTTTAAAGCCTCCAGTGTTGGGTGTTACGTGGGGTTCTTTCAACCCAAAGCTCTTGGTAACATTTATTCTGTGCGAGGCGGTGTCAGGAAATAAATTAGGGGAGACACAACCGTCCGACCGATAGATGGCTGGCACAAACAGGACAACACAAGAGTGCTTTCACTTAAAGCTAAACTTTACTTAGACTCAAACACTTACACACATCCACAACAAGATTAGTAAAACACTCCCAACCCTTGATAATTACCAAAGCTGAGTGTGGCTCTCGAGTGGCACAGTGGCAGCCCGTCTGCTGGTGGGAAACACAAGATGCATTCAGAGGGAGAGACCAGTCCTGAAGAGTCCCTCCTATCTCAAGCTTTTCCCCCTTATTTATACATTAGTAATAGAATGACATGTCCCTTAAAGAAACCTAGTCAAGCAAACAGTTCCAATGGGCAAGCAAGAGGCTCCTTCTGATTATTGATTAACCAGGTGTGGGTTTTTCCAGAGACTGCAGCCTTGACACTCAATAGCCATTGCTGGGGGTACATCCTGCTCTTTTAAAATGCATGTATCAGCATCTTCAATTCTTATCAGGAAGGACGTGGGGTCAAGCTGCCCTTTCTGTGTCACCCAAAAAACCCCTCCCCTCCTGCCTTGGTAAACTGAGATTGCTGAATGGCCAATTTACAGCTTGCTGACTAGGCCGCCTTTAACAATAAGCCATAGTGGTTTCAAGCACTTTACTGGTTTGCCAAAGTCTCCCCGTACAATGGGGATTACACAACATCCCTAGGTAACCTGTTTCAGTACTTAGCTATCCTTATAGTTAAAAAGTTTTCTTAATATCTAACCTAAATCTATCTTGCTCAGATTAAGCTGGTTGATTCTTATACTACCCTTGGAGGACATGGAGTACAATTTATCAATGGCCTCTTATTTGAAGACTCTTATTATATCATTATATGCATCTCAGAGCAAGGCTAGATGGCACATTGGTAGCAAGTGATATACACTAGCATTTCCACTATTGCTAGTACCCGTGGAGTTGCACTGGTGTTACAGTGATGGAAGATTTAGAGCAAAACCTCAGTGCAGATGCAGCTCTGAGGATATACATTTTTTGTTTATCCAAAGGACAGGCATAACAGTCAACAACAATGTAAGTTTCCCCACAGTGTTTTGGCAGTGTTCATGGAGGTAGGAGTAGCTTTAGGAGTAAGAAGGTGATTGAACTTTCATTCCTATTCAGTCTTTGATGTCTCTCTCTCCTGCCATGACCAATGCATATGACATGTTAGTGGAATATCCCATAATGTTTCTTGCAATTTGTCTAAGTGTTCTAAGAGAATCTATAAACTGTAAAGGTATTAGAATGTCTCCACATCGGCTGAACTAATTTTTTGCATAGTTATTACTGCTTAAGTTTTACTGTTTTTTCCCTCAATACTAAGTGTGTCTGCGGGGCACAGCAAAAGCTGTCATCATTGAGACTGCCTGCTATTTCTATTATAATCCCCTAAATTCAGTATCTGGGGTGATTTAATGATGTGTGGACTTTCCCCATGTACCCCCAGGAAGGAGGATGGGATGTTCCAATACCCCAGTATAGGCTAACACAATTATTGGACTGTTAGGTGGGCCTTGTAGGGAGCAAGCTTCTCAGCCTGAGTCACTGGACTGGGATTAACAGGGCTCATGCTAGCACTCTAAAAATAGCTGTGTAGACACTTTTGGAGTTGTGGCTTAGGCTAGAGTTTGGACTCTGAAACCTAGGGAGGGGGTTGAGCTTGAGACCCTGATCTCCAGAAAGAGTGGCAATCTCAAAGCATTGTCTACACAGCCAGTTTTAGAGCACTAGTGTGAGTCCCACTAGTCCAAATCTGTCGGTCCGGGCTCAGAGGTTCATACCTGTAGGCTGTGAAGACATACATGTAGGGGCTATGATTTCTTCCCCAATGGCCTCCCCACACTTATGCCTAGCATCCTAGTGTCTCTGGGTTTGCCCCTAAATGCATGTTACCAGAAAGATTCAGTTATCCAGAAAACAGTATGCCATAAAACACAGTATATCAACTCATGTTTAATGTTTTTCATTTGAAAAGACCTCATATAAAGTTTTCTATGTCAGTTAATGACTGTCAGCCTAATTTTATAGTTGGCTTCAGTGAAGATGAACCATACATTAGGAATAGTGCCAAGTATTTAATTTTTGGAAACTAAACCACGCAGAAGATTATAATAAAACTATTCATGTGGTTAATCTTGTGTTCTAATAGTCTCAAATTTAGGACATAGGGACACAAATAAACATTAGACACGCCACATGTTTTGAGCCAGATCCTCAGCTAGAGTAGAGCAACATAGCTCCAGTGAAGTCAATGGAATTACGTTGATTTACATCAGTAGAGAATTTGGACCAGTTACATGGAAAGTGGAAAAAAAAATCTTAAAATTGAACACCAGTTACAGCCTTAACTATGGATTGACTGGTAGAGCTGACTGGGGACTTTTTCCCAGGATCATATTCTATTGGAAAATGTGGTTCTGTCAAAATCATAATGCATCACAAAATTAGGTAAATTTTGCTGGAATTTTGTTTCAGAAGAATATAAGGAAAAATATTCTGATATTATTGAAACGTTTTGTTTCAACAGTTTTGTAATAAAATGTTTTGATTGTTCATGTTGAAATTACTTTATTTCAATTATTTTTGTATTATATTATATATTGGAATACAATACAAAAAAATTTGAAAGTTGAACACAGAACATTTTGGTCAATCTGAAACAATTTTGCCCCCAGAATTTTACTTCGCTGAGAATTTTGAAATTCTTGGGTTTTGTTTTAGTTCCAGATGAAGCCAAATTTCAAAATGTTGAAATCCTTCAAGCCGCTGCACAGCTCTAGTGATTAGTATCCTGATTTGCCTCAAACAAATTAAACCTTGGTGTAACTAAGCTGACTTCAGTGCGGTTATCTGGATTCTCACTTGTGTTAGATCAGAATCAAGCCCAGTAGGGCTCTCTCTGTAAGGCATACATGGACACACAAACACACACACTAGCATTTAAAGATAGCACAGTTTATTGAAATGCCAGAATAAATCAGTCTTCAGTTAAGAGTCTGATTAGGACAGATAATATTATTGAAGGAAAATTCATTCTGCTATAATATTAGGTAGCATACATGTCTGTACACTTATGCTGGAAAGGTTATGCAAATAGAATGATCTGTTTATAATATTTGCTTTTATTTTATTATATATATATATATATACACACACACACATAGACAAATTGACTTCTTTTATTTTCAGTCACATCTCATTTTCTCAGAAAAAAATCAGTGTTATTGTCCATCTTTCAGGCTTTGGCTGAAAATTGTAAAATTACTCAAGTCATTCTGAATGGAAAATAAGCTGGAAGAAATAATTGAAAATGTTAGCTATCTACTTTGAAATTGATAACCAGGTTTATTTAATTTTCTTTTGAATTAACTGAAAGCATGGTACAAAGATAGAAAAAATGATATTTCCAAAAGTCAGTAAATACAAAATGTAGCAGAAGAGAAGTAAATTTAATTCTATGACTCTAATTCTAAAATCTCTCCTTTTTGCTGTCATTCCTTTATTTTAACTTGTTTTATTTTGAAACTCAGCGACACCATCTGATAATATTTTATTCTAAGACTCAGATGTTAAGGCCAGTAGGAACCAAGAAGATCGTCTAAACTGACTTCTGTATAACACAGGCCATAAAATTTCACCCAGTAATTCCTGCATCAATTCAACTTCTGCTTGAGCTAGAACATTTTATACCGCAATGAATCATTTTCTATATTAATACTTTTATCCTTCCCATTTCTGCTTCTCTGCTATAAATCTGACATCAGCTCGACTCTGTTCGCACACAAGAATCAATGCAGAGGTCAGGGGTTTTTTTGGTGTTCTCTGTAAGTAATTTTGAGACCATGTCAATATTAGTCAGGGGCCTCATGCACAGTGAAATCATGGATGGTATTAACCGTATTAGCCAGCAACCTTGCATTAACTAGCCTGACATGATGGACTGAATCACCATCCAGGAGTCCAGTGATATGGATTTTGTCAGTTACTCTTGGAAACGAGAATTCTAACCTTTGATTACCATATGGGAATCAATCTTATTTGCTTTTTGGATTTTTCAAAGCTTTTGCAGGTTAGGCAATTTCATCTCATACTAATGTATTTTTCTCACTTTACACTTTTTATTATTTTTAATTGTTATTTCGCGGCTCTAGTATAAAGTTCCATTGAAGTCAATAGGAAGCCGAAACTGAAATTACATGTTAGCTAATAGCAATTGTCACAATCAATAGGAACCATAGTCGCTCTCCACATGAACTCCTAGGAAACACACACTGGGGTCCTATTTCTTATTTACACAAAGGTCTTTTTACATGTCTTGGCCAGTGTAAAGAGGCTTTAAAGTGGACGTATATGTAACTTGTTCCCAGAGTGTTGTAAAGTAGCCTGAGTGTGAATGGGAACTGGGCCTTGGAGATTTGACTCAGCCTTCCTTGAACAAAATGAAGTCCTTCTAGAGAGACAGTCACCCATTGGACACCGGAAAACTACTCATTTCATAGCTAAATATATCTAGCTATCTACAAGGTCAACGAAGACAGTTTGCTGAATAATTATCTCAAACAGTTTTTTTTTCCTGTGTGTGTAAGAAATATTCCAGTAATAATTCTGTGATGGGTTGTATCACAGAAACCCCTTTGGGAGCTGCCAACTGATGTGCCAAGACTACTTCTGCCCCTGCTTTCCTGCCCTGTCAGCTTAGGACTTCAATGCCCTCCCTGGTTTGAGCCAGACTTGCTAGCCTGCTGCAAACCCAGACCCAGGTCTGAATCACGTCTCCTAACAGCTGTAGGCTTACCTGAAAGCAGCTAACAGAAGTGTTCTTGTCTTTAACACTCAGATGCCCAACTCCCAATGGGGCCTAAACCCAAATAAATCCGTTTTACCCTGTATAAAGTTTATGCAGGATAAACTCATAAATTGTTCACCCTCTATAACACTGACAGAAAGATATGCACAGCTGTTTGCCCACCCAGGTATTAACACATATTCTGGGTTAATTAATAAGTAAAAAGTGATTTTATTAAATACGGAAAGTAGGATTTAAGTGGTTCCAAGTAGTGACAGACAGAACAAAGTGAATTACCAAGTAAAATAAAATAAAACATGCCAGTTTATGTCTAATACAGTAAGATACTGAATACAGATAAGATCCTCATCAGTTCCAGAATGCTTCCTTTTACAGACTAATCTCCTTTTAGTCTGGGTCCAGCAATCACTCACACCCCTTGCAGTCACTGTCCTTTGGGGATGGAGAGGTTCTCTCTTTAGCCAGCTGAAGACAAAATGGA